TGGGTTTGCAGAGTCGGTGGGAGAACGGCAGGCGGGTGGGCCGAGCGGCCCAGCGTGGGGGGGGGCGGGGCGGGACAGTGGGGTGCCCCCCGCCAAGCGCCCCGACTCTGCCCACCAGGAGGAGGCGCTGGCCTGGAGCCGCCCAGGGAAGGGGCTGGGGCCGGGAAAGGCCTGTTCTATTGTGTGCCGCCGGGCGACGTGCATTGATGGGGAAGCTGCTGGAGGAGCAGGGGTGGGGGGGCGGGTGGGAGGGGAAAGGCAAATGCAGATATATATTAAAGACAAATTATCTAGATACCCGAGCAGCAGCCTGTGGCACCCGTTGGGCGCGGGCACCAGGGAAGAGAGAGCCGGGCGTTGCCCGCTGACTGCTGGGGTCACTTCTCTGCCCACGGGCTCCCTGCTCCCCCAGTTTTTTTTCTCTCTTTGTTAACAAATGTGTCTGAGTCTTGGAAAACACCCCAACCCCGGAAATGTGTGGGAAAAGAAAACAAAAACTTTCCAAATCCAACGGTCCTGTGCAGTTTTTTTGGGGTGGGTACTGTTGGGACATCGGTCCTGGCTCTGGGCTCGGGTTTGGGCCCAAATTGCGGCCTGTGAGAGCTGGTAAGTAGCGTCCAGAGTTTGGGGCTGAGCATGATTTTGGGCTCCTGGGGGCGGCCTGTCTTTGTCTCACCCCCATGTACCCCCTGGCCGGAGGATGGGGCTGGAGAACCGCTAGGTGGCCTGGTGGAGCCCACCCACCCCCGCGTGTCAGGACAAATCCCCAGAGGCAAGAGCGTCATGGTGCCCCTTAGTGGCTAAGGTGGGTCTATGCCTCTGGGGGCTGCTTGTGCGCGGGTCTTGCAAGGGCACTGGCCTTGCTACAGCCCCGGGGGAAAGTGGTGTTACTCCTGGGCGACAAGCGCTTCAGAGGCTGAGTCCACATTTGCCCCCAGTTCTGCCTAACTCGAGTCTCTGCTTTTTCTGCATCTCTAAGGATTTGGACTCTATGGTCTGCAGCCCCACCCCCCACCCCCAGTCCATGCGGGCTGACCGTGGGTAGCTCCTGGGCCTGCAGAACCTCATCCCCTGGTGTTTGCTCCTTCCTGGAGACACTGAACAGGCCCACGGTCCCAAACACGCTGAGAAGCCGGTCTGTATTTGCTAAGCTTCTCGGTGGCAAGGAGTAGAAACTCTTGAGGCGAAGGTTGTAGTGAGGAGCTGAATGTGCGGACATTCTCAGGGGAGCAGAGTGTGGGTGGTCTTCATCTCCCAGGTGGCCGTGGTGGATCGCCATGCCACTGGACACATGAGCCGTGACTCAGCCACGCTTCTGCCACTCAGGTCTCCTCCACTTTGTGCTGGATGGATCTCGCCTCCCTCTGCTGGCTCTGCTTTCTCGTGCCGTTGGCTCGCCATCACCCTTCACCACTTGGATCTCTTCGCGAGCTTCCATCCACATGGGGCTCTGTTGCCGGCCAGCTCAATCTTGCGGCATTTTCCAGCTCACAAGCCTGGTCCATGTTTAGGCCTGGACACCTCTCAGGGTCCCTGGGCTGCATGTCCACAGGAGACCCTCCCCCTCCTTCCTTCCATCCTGGAATGAAGCTTTTGTTTGAAGATCCTCCTTACCCTGGGGTGTTTCCCCAGGGACCTTTGAGAGCTCTTCCCCAGACTCTTGTCACTGGTGGGAGAGTGGGTTCTCTTGTAGCCGCCCCCAGGTGTGGATTTCCATAGACTTGGCCTCACCTTGCCCTCCTGAACCAACCACCTGGGGGAGGCATGGGCTCTGCTCGTCCCCCACTGCTCACAGTGTTGAAACCTGAGGTCAGCTCTAACTCCCTGTGGAAGCCTGGGGCGGGGAAGGCCCTGACTCGGGGCAGTCTTGCCAGGACATCCTGTCCGCGTACCAGTGACGACCTTGCTCCCGGGCCTTCTGCGGCTGCTCTCTCTGTCCAAGGGATGGAATCATCTCAGGTTCCCCTGCCCCATCACCACTAGCCAAAGAAAACAAATAGAGGCAGGCAGGAGTTCTGTGGTGCCAAGAAGGGAACATTCTTTTCTAGAAATTTCTAGAATGGTCCTGAACAGTCTGTCAGAGTAGGGGACCGGAAATAGGGACAGTGCAGGAGTTGGAAGGAGAGGCCCCAGTCCTGCTCACTGCCATGTGGCTGTAGGACTGGGGGCTTTCCTCTCTGTGTCGGGAGGCTAAGAGCTCCTATCACTCGAGGGCTTGGTTGTAAGAGGAAAGATTTCTGGACTCTACCATTGACTCAGTTTACCCATCTGTGAGATTGGTCACCTCAGTCTCAGCTCCTTCGTCTGGGTATCTGATGTTGAACTTAACACGGCCTGAGCTGAGCTTCTTGAGGTCTGGCTGGCCTGGCAGTGACCCCCAGGAGTGTGCAAACGGCATCTGGGTGTGACTGAAATTCCAGGAACCTCGCTCTTTGACACTTGGTACTTGCAGGGATATGTCAGGAGATTCCACCCGGGGAGGATCAAGGACAGAGTTGGGGCGGAAGCTCAAAGTGGAGTCTAGCTGATACCTTGGCCTTGAAGACAACACAGCCACCCCAGGGGAGAGAACACAAGCTCAGCCAGGGCTGGGATTACTCTGGGAGGACATCCCTTTCCTGGAGGTGGATATGGAGCTGAAGGAGCCTGCACTGCCCTCCCCACATACCCTTCTGGGAGAGCTGCACGTCTGGCTGGAGACGGGAGCATGGCTAGAGAGGGTCCTGAGCCACTTTCCTGTCCCCACTGCCCCTCTCCCGCCATGGGAGGGAATGAGACTGTAGGGTAGTTGATGGCTTCTTCCTCCCCAGTTCCCTTGGCTCTTCCATTGCAGGGTGCCCCTGCTGCCTCTGGGATGAGGAGCTCCCTGTGGTGTCCCGCGAGAAGGCCTGCCATTTGGGTGGTGGCGCCCAGCTGGAAAGCGGGCTTTTGACTGCTGCCAAGAGAGCCCCCTCTCCCTTTGCAGGGCACCCACTCAGCCATGGTGATGACACCGCCTAGCTGCCCGAGAGGGGTAGGGCCCTGGACCCTCCCAGCTTCCAGGTGCCGTTGAGTTCAGTGAGTTCATGTTGGAAGCAGGTAGTTCCTGGGTTCTAGAAGACTGGGACCCCCTGGAAGGGCCAGGAGCCAGGCTGCTCTGAATGTGGGCAAAGGGATAGCTCTGACCACATGGCGAACTGGAGAGCACTCTAGGGGAGAGGAGGGGCCGTCTCTCACCAGCCCTGGGTTCTCTCTTCTGGAAGCTTCTGGACACCAGAAGGGGGCCCTAAGAATGCTGAGCAAGGGTAAGAAAGTACCTGGGGCTCAGCTGGGCAGCAGGCAGACAGGACCAAAAGTTCAGGGCAGGCTGAGACAAACTTGCCTTTGGGCAGCTTTACAAACATGATCCCCACCCCCACCCCCCTCTTCCTGGGGTCTTCACTGAGAGGTGGCCACAGGCAGGCGCCTGAAAGACATGATCCCACCCGCCCCCCAAGAGGCCCAGGGGCTGCGGGGGGTAAGACCAGGCCAGTGAGTGATCCTGTTTCCCAGGGGCAAGGAGCAGCCTTCCGTTTTCCCGTTCATCTTCTCCTGTGTGTACCCACCACTGATGTGCGTGTGTGTGTGTGTGTGTGCGCACACGCATGGGCACACGCGTGTGTAGGGGCACAGCCCTTTGCGGAGGTGCCCGGAAGCAGTGACACAGGCAGAAGCAGAGACCACCTGAGCACAGCTTTGGGGCGACTCAGCAGATCAGCAGCTGGTGGGGACCCCGATGGGCTGCAAATGGCTTCTGCCTGCACCCGCATTTGTGTTAGGGGAGCTCAGGCTTCCGTCCCTTTCCATCTGAGCCCTTGTCCGGGGTTTTCCTGTAAAGGGTGCTGGTGGACTCCGCAGGGTCCCGGCTGGTTCTGAGAGCGAGGCGCCTGACTCGAGAGGCATCACTGGCTGCCCGGTTGTGCGGCCGGAGGCTGGGGGGGCGGGCAGGGGGTGTCGTAGCCAGGGCTGGGCTCTGGAGAGCGGGGCTGGGCTCTGGATTCTGCCCCTCTGAGCTGCAGGTCATGGGCAGTTGGTTTCTCCGAGCCTTGCTTTCCCATCTGTAAGATGGGCTGTCTTCCTTGAAGGGTTTGGGAGAAGATAAGATGATGACTTGAGGCATCCAGGGTGGTGCCTGGCCCACAACGGAGGCAGGAGAGGGCAGACACTCTGGCCCCGGCCTTCAGGGAAGGAAAACCAGCCTGGGAAAGGGCCAGCCCCTTGAGGGGTTCCCCAGAGCTCTCCCTGCCCCCACTCCCACCCATGGCTCATCCCTGGAGTCAGCGAGGGGCCGTCATGTTTCCTTTATTCACTCTTTTGTCTCCCCCGCACCAGTGCCCCTCTTGCCAGGCTCTGTGTGGGAGCTGGGGTCAAGGGGTAAGCGGCCACTCCAACCCTCTGGAAACTCCGAGGCTGGAGTATGGGAGTCAGGTGCCAGGCCGCGGCTGTGGGTAAGGGTTTTACTATGGCCCCGGGCTGGGCCCTGGGCCCTGGGCCTGGGAGGCACCTTGTCAGGTAGAGAAGGGGTGGGGAGGATTGGTCCTGTGGCTGGAATGTGGAGAGAAGGGGGCCTGGGGGCCTTTTGGGAACAGCTGAGGAGCTGAGACTTGTGTGGGGCCCTCGGGGCAGTGCAAGGAGCTGGGGAAGATTTGACCGTGGGTGACGGTAGCCTCCAAGCTCGGGGGGCGGGGGGTAGTGGGCAGCTGGGGGCCGTGAGCAGTGGGGAGGGGAGCAGGGGGTGGACAGGTTCCTGCAGGTCCCTGCTCCTTCTTGCAGTCATGAGGGAGGGTCCCATGAGGGTGCTCGGGGCAGCGCCCAGCCAGTGAAGCCGTTCTCTTGGCCCTTTCTTTGTTGAAGGTGGCTCCTCAGGCAGAGAGGGGCAGCCCCTGGGCCCTCTTCTAGAGATGGGGGCCTTTGCCGTCCTGCCTTCTCCAAAGGAGAGAAGGGGCTCCTGCCAGCGTCGCCTCACAGAATTCCTGGGAGGCTTAAAAGTGTGTGGATTTCAGGACAGTGGGCCCCGGGGTGTTGTGTGTCGCCTTCTTTACCGCCCTGTTCAGACACAAAGATAAGAGGGTTGTGTCTCGTGGGTGCAGCATGACCTCTGACCCCTGCACTGTGTCTCTCCTGAGGACTCAGGAGATACTGCCCAGGAGCCCAGGAATGAGCTCCCTGAGCACGTGCTGGGGAGGAGGTGGGCGGTGACAGCTCTGCGGCCATCCAGGGGCTTCATCGGGAGAGTCTGGGGCCTTTGAGCGCCCCAACAATGCCCATCACAACCTCGGCCCTCCCCCTTCCAAAGGTCTATGCACTTCCTTCCTCTTGACTTCTCTTAAGGTGGAGTGGAGCTGGGGTCAAGGGGTAAGCGGCCAGCTCTCTGGGCCTGGCCCAGCTCTCTGGGCCTCAAATGGTGGCATGAAGGGCAGGAGACCAAGTCCACATGGTCAGCCAGGAGACCCAGCTTTTGGTCTCCCCTCTCCCACAGATGTACGGTGTGACTCCGAGCCAGGCCTGTCCCTCTCTGCACCCCTGTTCTCCCTCCGCCCAGCGGCAGCGGTGGGGGGGACCAGGCCCGCCCTACTCCAGGCTTCCCTGGAGGGACAGAGAGGGGGGTCCCTGGGCGGAGTTCACTCACTGGTTCTGCACATCTTGAATGGTGTCAGGCAGCGGCAGGCTCTGAGTCTCTGGGAGCAGGAGGGCAGCCAGGCCACTAAGGACTGGCACCCCCCCGTATACCAGCAGGGGCAGCCAGCGGCCATGGACAGCCAGCAGCCGGACCAGAGGCCCCAGGATCGCTCCCACTCGGGCTGCCATCTGGCCCAGGCCCACCGCGGTCATCCTGTCGTCGCAGACACACCAGTGAGGGGCCCCTCTGCCTGCCCACCGTGGCTTTGACCTCCCAGCCCCCACTCTGTCCAGGGTGGCCCAGGGGTTCAGGCTGAGCCATGACGCTCCTGGGCGGCCCTGAGACCACAGGGAAAGGAGAGGGCGGTGGGGACATTGGAGGCTGGGAGAGGCCGCCCCCGCCCTGCCCTCCCAGCTCTGGGCGACCCCTCACCTGAGCACGGTGGGGAAGAGCTCACCGGTGTAGATGCTGAAGCAGGTGAAGGCGGCCCCCAGGCCCCCGAGCCCCAGCACGGCCAGGGCTGAACGCAGGGCCCCCATCTCTGTGGACAGAGAAGGGGTTATCAAAGTTGGTGGCAGGGGCCCCGAGGTCAGATGGGGTCTCTCTCCAGCCTAGACCTCTCCCTGACCTCCCAATGTCTGTGACTCAGCTCCACTTGGGTGTCCCCGGAGCACATCCCGAGTGACTTCATGGCTACATTCACTGCCCCCAAACTGCTGCCCAGCCTGACACCTGGAGCCAGACCCTGGGAGAGCTCCTTGACCCCCTGTTCCCCATCTTCCCCCTGCGCTCCGGCTCTGAGCCTTATTTTATCTCCACAGTTTGTCACGAAGCCACCCCTCCACACCATCCCTGCTCACTGCCTTCTGCAGGCCACCACCATCTCTCCCGGAGGCTCCACAGCCTCCTTCCTAACTGGGTCCCTGCTCTGGTCCAGCGCCCTCTGAGAAGGGGGCAAGGGCCTCTGTTCCTGGCTCAGCACCCCCGGGTAGGGAAGCCTCGGGCCACAGCTGTGCGCACCCAGGCCTGCGCACTCACCGTAGGGCACCAGCGTGTTGGCTAGGATGCAGAGCCCTGACAGCACCAGGGACCCCACCTGGGTGGGCCGGCGGCCCAGACGGCTCAGCAGCAGCAGGGAGCCTATCTTGGCCGGAATGTCCACGACCCCAATGAGGACCTGGAGCAGGAAGATGTTGCTGTCTAGGGCCTGCAGGTCCAGGGCCAGGCCGTAGAAGGTGAAGCCAAAGGCGAACCTGCGGGGCCAGGGGAGTCAGGCCAGGGGATGGGCTGCTCATCGGCTCCTTTGTTCTCAGACCCATTTCCACCCTCCTCTTGCAAGCTCTGTGTAGTGGAGGGGTGGCCTCTGCAGACCACCTTTCCCTGGGCTCCCTGCCAGTGCTGCCTGTCGAGAGGTTTGGCCAGCGGGAGGCACTGGTGAGAGGCGTAGGTGCACCTGCGGGGTGTGTGGGGGGGCGGGGGGGGGGGGGGAAGGCCGGGATGTTCCCTCCTCCCTCCCTCTGGGTGCCGCCTCCCCTCCATGGCTACGGCTTCTACTGAGCGTGTCCTTCCTCCGTGGCCTCAGCGGTTCCAGTCCTTGCTGGGAGGCACTGGTGCCTGGGCTCCGATAATCCCCCTCCCTCCTCCCTGGCCCCTCTGGACGGGGTGGCAGGCGCTCTCCTCCTCAGCCGGCTGGGCACTTCAGCTCTCCCAGAGCCTTTGCTGTGACTCCTCCCATCTCTCCTGCTCCCCCCGCCCCTCCCCCCCCCCCCCGCGCCGGCCCCCAGCCTGGGCTGCTTCCTCTGGGAGCCTGACCGCTACTAGAGGGGAGGTGACCGTGCTGCACGCCCTGTCCTGGAGGTGCTGTCAGGACCGTGGGATGGACAGGGGAGTCATTAGAGGCCCCTTGACTGGATGCCAGCCAGAGCCCTGATTCTAGCGTCCCTGGGGGCCCGGCGACAGCCCAAGGCAGGCCAGAGGCAGAGGCTGGGGCCCCGGGCAGGGTTCAAGGGGTGTCTACCAGCACAAAGTGGAGATGCCGGTCCGGAGGGGCAGCCCAGGTGTGCAGAACAGGGCACCCAGGCTGGCAGGGGCCTGGCCCACACTCAGCTCCTCCTGCATGGCTGAGAGCAAGACCTGCGGGGCGGGGCAGGGGGGCGGCCTGTCAGCACTGGGAGCACTGGACCCGCCCTCCTCCCTCTGACCCTCCTCCTCCCAGGGGCCCGGTGCGGGGGCAGGGAGAGGGTCTGAGGGTTGGCCTCACCTCGGTGGTCAGTGTGCCCTCCACCACCCTCTTCCTGTTGATGGCAGCCACCCTCCGCAGCTCCCGCAGGCCCTGCTCCAGCCTGCCTGTGATGAGGAGCCATCGGGCCGACTCTGCCAGCCACCTGCGGGGGTTCAGGGGGACAAATGGAAGGGGGCACTGCCTGTGGCCCCCAGGGCCTGGCCTGCACGAGCCTCACTGCCCTTCTGTGTCCTGCCCCGGGGGGGTGGCCTCACTGGTGCCCACAGGCCCCAGGCTCAGGGAGGCCACGCCGTTTGACACACTCCTTCCCCAACAGGCCACCCTTTCTGCCTTTTTCCTTCTCCCTCTCGGGTTGTGCTTGGGAGGCCCAGTCCTCCCCTTCCTGCCTCCCTCCCGACCTGGTGGCCTTTCCCTTGCCTCATTGGAAGCCAGGCCCAGGTGACATCGTGTGCAGTAAGGACCCCCCAGTGGTTACGGGATGGCAGGCCTGTGAGCCCAGCACGGGCTGCAAGCCCCCCAGGGCCCCCTCCTGTCTGGTGCCTCCCAGCTGTCACACTGTCTTCCTGCTCACCCTCAAGGCTGCACCTTCCTGCTTGAGCTGGCTCCTCCCCCAGGGCCCCTCCTTGCAAACAGCTTCACACCCAGCAGGGTCTTTGGTCCTGACATCACCAGCCCCCTCCACCTGTACCCAGTCAACCACCAATTCCCGTCACCTCCAGTATCCCTTGCATCTGACCCCCCCACTGCCCTGGCCTCACTTTGGCCCTGTTGCCCATGCCGGGATGCTCGTTGGCCCAATGCATCTCAGTTCCCCCTTCTCATTGCCGGGACCCAGCCTGTAACACTAACCTGGCCCCCGCCGCCCTCCACATCAGCCCAGACCGCTTGCACCTGCCCAGCGCACTAAGTCCCCTACCGTGCCCACTACCCGACACAGGCTCCTGCCTCCAGCCAGCCCCGCCCCCCGGCCAGGCCCCCCTCTGTCCTGCAAGCAGCAGCTAGGGGTGGGGCCGCCTGCTCCTCGTGTGTGGGGCCCTGAGGTCCTTCAGGGTTAGCAGAACCAGGGAGAAAAGGGAGACTCAAGGCACATGTTAGAGGTAGAGTTGACAAGACCTAGTGACCTGCTGGACTTGGGGTGGGGGGACGGGGAGGGATGGGGAGGAGGTGTCATGGCAACTCTGACTCTGCGACCTAGTGGGTGGGGGCTGCTATCCATGCTGGGGAAGGCTTGGGAAAGAGCAAGTGCAGGAGATGTTACATTTGGGGTGCCAAGACCCCAGTCATGGAGATGTCACACAGCGGATGGGAAATGGGAGGCTGGAGGCCGGGCAGAGGCAGGACCCAGGAGGGGACTCAGGGTCTGTAGCACGTGGGGGGAGTCAGAGCCGGGGGACAGGTTAGGTGGCCTGGGAGAGAGCACTGGCAGTGACCGGCAGGCCAGCATCGGCCTCAGACAGCCAAGAGGGGTGCCCTGGACTCCACATCGTTGACCTTTGCCCTCCATCCTCCCGCCTCCACTCTGTTGGTACGGGGGTCGGTCGGCAGAAGACCACCTGTCAGGCAGGACTGTCTCCTCTCTGAGCCAGTGCACCAGGTGTCACTGTCTCCTGCTCTGGAGAGTGACTGCAAGTTGGCTGCTCAAGGCTCCATTTTAAGAGCCTTCGGCTCTAACCTGTTGGGCTCGGAGAGGTCTGAGTCAGCCCTCCTCCCAGTGCAGGAGTCCTGTCCTCCCCTGGGCTTCTGCGGGGCTTCCCTCTGCAGTGACCACAATGGCCAAGCAACTCCTAAGTTGCTGGGTCTGTAGGTGAACGAGCCAGTTTCAGCTCTGTCCTGAAGTGCATTCATCCATCCATCCATCTATCCATCCATCCGTCCATCCATCCATCCCCTCCATCTACCCATCCACTCACTAGTTTATCATCTATCCATCCATCCATCCATCCATTCATCCAGGTAGCCATCCAACAAATATTTACTCTGCACCTACTATGTCCCAGGAGTTTGGCAAGAGCCAGGCCTGAGGGCTGTGTATTTGAGGGCAATGCAAATGCTCCCTAACCTCCCACATATGTCAGCCCTTTGGGGAGGCCAGGAGTCCCCTCTGACCGCTGGGTCTTGGTCCCTGTTCTTTAGCAATGACGTCAGTATGGAAGGGTAGCCGGGGCTGTGTGTGTGTGCGTGTGCGCGCTGTATCTTTGCATCTCACCCCACACGCTCCAGAGCAAGCAGGGCCTCGAGAGGGAAAAGGGCTAAGAGGAGATGGGAAGGAAGGGGTGGGAGAAGGGTGAGCAGAGGAGGAGGCCCCTGGGAGGAGCAGGGAGGGGCGCGGCCCCGCGGGCACTTGGGGGAGCCTCGTGGGCCTGTGGTGGCCAGCTGTGCCAGGGCCCTGGGCCTCCCCTCCAGCTGTGCTCCCCACCTCCTGCACCCCCCACGCCCTGCTCCCGGGGTGGAGGGTAGGCAGGTCTTCTCTAAGGCGGGGGCATGGCACCCACCAGGAGTACACAAAGCAGAGGAAGAAGGGGGCAGAGACCACCAGCTGCAGCAGGGCCCAGTCCCGCACACCGTAGGCCACGGCGGCCATCAGGACCTGGCCGAAGCTGAAGCCCAGGGAGTTCAAGGTCATCGCCAAGGCTCGGGCGCGCGCCGACGTCCACTCCATCACTGCAAGGAGACCGCAAGGGTCAGCCGGGAGCCTGCGCCAGTCTCCCTCGCAGGGCCCGAGTTAGGTGACCTACGGAGCGTGCTGGTGTTCATCATGACGCCCGCCACGCCGAAGGCCGCCAGGAAGCGGAACAGGCAGTACACGGAGAAGGTGGGGGCGAAGGCAGCGGCCGTGCCCGACATGGCCATCTGAAGGTAGTTCCAGGTCAGCACCAGCCTGCGCCCAAACCTGCGGGCACACGGACACACAGACGGGGCGGCTGGGAGCGCGGCGTGCCATGGCCCCAGCCACAGGGCTCTGAACCTCCCTGGCCTTGCCCGTTGAGCAGAGCCCAGAGTGACACCTGCGTCCAGCCCTGAGTTATCCACCAACGGAAGGCTTGGACGCCTAGGCAGTGTCCCCAAGGTCCAGGCCGCTGGAAGGCACGCTGGGCAGAGGAGTGCCCTGTCAGGGGGAGCCCTCGAGCAGCATCTGAAGGCAGGCCTGGGGCTGAGCAGATTTTAGCAGTGAACGCTGGATGGGAAGGATGACCCTCTCCAAACCCAGAGGAGGCTTGAGGGAAGCCAAAGCCCAGAGTGGGTCTGAGGCTTGCTCAGCGGCAGAGTTGGACGGTGTCAGGAGCGACGGCGGCAAGAAGCCAGGGCTGTAGGAGGACGGGGCGTGAGGGAAAGGGAGCTGCCAGAGCCGGGGGCACTCACCTGTCGGAGATGTGGCCGCACACCGCAGCTCCCAACAGGATCCCAGACAGGTAGATGGACTGGGCCATGGGCTTTAGGGCGTGGGAGTCACACACCAGGTCCCACTGGTGGGAGAGGAGTGGGAGCTGAACCCAGAGGTGAGGGGGCAGAGGCGCTGGATGGGAAGGCCCGTGGAAGCTAGGCGAGGGTGGATGGCCTGGTGACCTCTAGGGTGGTAGGGCTGGGCTGTCACCCTGTTGCCCTCTGGTCCAGGGTCAAGCCTTCTCTAGACTCATTCGATCTCCCCTGCCTCACCCACTCTGCAGCGCCACCCTGAGCTGGTGCTTGGTCGCCACTCCCCCAGGCCTCTCTGGTTCTACAAAGAGGCCCCTTCCCCTTGCTGGGATGGGCTGCCCCTCCCTATTGCCCGGATTTGCCTGATTGGCCCCAGGGGTGGCCTGCCCCCTGAGACAGGCGGTGGAACTGGGCTCTGCGCTTGGGCGGGGGGAAGGGGAGCTGCCTGAGTCACAGGGGCAGCCGGGCGGGCCGACTTGGCTGTCCCGGGCCCCAGCTCTTGGTACTACCCACCCTTCCACAAGCCCGAGTCCCGCGGCCGACTCCCCACCCCCACCCTTCCCCGGGGCGATGTGCTGGAGGAGGGGCAGGCAGCCCACCTGCGCTGAGTGAGGGGGCCTGTCGAGGCCGGTCCCTCCCAGGACTGGGCCTTTCTGAGTCCAGTCTAATGTGAGTTCTGACCTTGGCCTCTAATGCGCCAGGACTTGGGGAAGGTGTCAGGAGAGGCTTTTACCTTGGCCACAATGGTGGAGGTGAAGGTGCTGCGGTCATAGACCCAGCCATCCATGCACGGCTCTGTGGCAGCCTCGCTCCAGTTGGTGGCCGTGGCGTTGGGGTCCAGGAGCTGCCACTGTGGTTGGCGGAAGCGGCGACACTGGTGGGGCTCATGGTTGGGGCCCGGGGGGATGGAGACGGTCAGGAGGTCCTTGGGGCCCAGGGCCCCGGGGACACTGGCCTGGGCAGTGCTGTTGTCCAGGAGGGGCACCCAGCATCGGTGGCTGGGCACGGCGGCCGAGAAGTTCTCCAGCATGCCCTGAGTGGTGAGCCACATGATGGGGACCACCAGAGCCACCATCTGGAGAACCTGGAACCTGCCCAGGCCACCCACTTGGTCCAGGAGTTCAGAAAATGCCATGGAGCCTGCCCGGGGGGGCCCAGTGGAGGTGCCCACTTCACAGAAGCTGGCCCGGGGCAAAGGGGCCAACGCGGGGGACCTGCTTCCCCCACAGCAGCACCTGCTTCCCCAGCTGAGAAGCCTGGAGCATGGCAGAGGCTGCCCCCCTCGCCGACACTGGGCTCTCCAGGTGTCTGTCCAGAAAGGTCACTCAGGGTGGCTCCAACCGGGACCAGGAGCTGTGAGGCGTGACCCTGAAGCCACCAACATCCTTCCAGAGACGCAGCTGGCCCTGGACCTCCAGGAGAATCTGGTTACTGGAGGTGGGGGAAGTGGAGACTGAAGACACCCAGACTGGAATTAAACTGTGACCAGCTGACCTTTACGGAACAGGGGTTAGGAATCAGTCAAAGTTTAGCCCAGCTCTGAGGGAGGCCCAGAGGCCAGAGCACAGCTGTTCCTGCCCAGCGGGGAGGCCTGGCCAGGGGCACCTGGTCTCTGATGGGTGTGGGGGGGCTTTGGCAGGGCTGCCACCCCCCTCGGCACCCCTGCCCACCTCACAGGGGGGACTCTCCAGTGCTCACGCAGGAGACCGCTGGCCGGGGTCCTTACTGATCCTGGGACTGGTGTGAGCCAGGAGCGACATCTGTAGGCTGCGAGGGCCTCCGTGTGTGCACGCGTGTGCGTGTGTATGTGTGTGTGTGTGGCCTGGGCCTGAGTCCTCGGCGGCAGCCATCTGCACCCCCACCTCCCCGCCGGTGCGGCCTTGCCCCCCCAGGCCCCCCGCCCTCTGTTGTCTGCTGCCACTGATCCCCAGCAGGCACGACAAGTGCCGCCGCCTCCTCCAGGGGGCTCTGCTGGCTTATTCTTGCCTCCCTGCTGGGCTCTAAGTCAGGAGTGGAGCCCCATCTTTGCACTGGCCTGCACCCTTCTATTATTGTCTGGCTGGTCCCATTCCCAGCCAGGTCCTGGAGGGCAGGGACCCTTCCCTAGAGCATCTTTGGGACCAGCACGTATGTGGACAGCAGGTGCAGGCGCTGTAAAAATTTGCTCCAGCTGGTTTTAACAGCAGCTTCTATTTTTTTTTTTCCCGGAGTATAAAATTAACGTTCACACTTTCCAGAAATTTCAGAAAATATGGAAAGGTACAGAGAAAACAAAGATCAGTCCTAAACTCACCAACCAGTGACTGCCACTGTTGACACTTGGGTGTAAACACTTCTAGGGTCTGCTCTGGTCATTGGCACGTTCAGCTTCCTCATTCTGGGTTGCAAACCAAGCTTAACATCTCCTTTTGTAAAACCCAAACAAAAAGGCTCTGACTTTAGCTAGCGATTCTAGCCTGTTCACATTTATTGGAATTACTGTCATGCGTGGACTTCCGGTATGTTTTCTTCTTTGCTGTATTTTCCCTTTACATCTTTGTTTCCTTGTTCCTATTTTCTACGGAACCCCCTGCAATTTCTTGCTCTGTTTTTCTTCTGTCCTGGTTTGGCGATGGCGCATTGCGTTTCTGTTAGCCTTCTAAGGGAGCATACCCTTCCAGAGCTATTTTATGTCCCCTCCTCCTTCATCCTCTCTCAAAAGATGTCCTTTCTCCTCATTTCACTAAGGAAATAGAAGTCATCAGAAGCCAACAGTCTCATTCTCTGACTTGCCTCAGGCCCCCCCCGCCATTCTGCCTTCGCTCCTGCCACCTCCATGGCCCACATGCTCCTCCTCATCATGGCCTCCTCGCCGTGTGCCCTGCAGCCCACCTCTCCACCTCAAGCCTCTTTGGCATCTGTCTTTCCCTCCCTACTGGATAGTTCCCACCAATGTACACATATGCCAGTTTCCGGGGCGCCTGGCTGGCTCAGCTGGAAGAGCATTTGACTCTTGATTTCGGGGTCGTGAGTTCGAGCCCCACGTTGGGGATAGCGGTTACTTAAAAAAATAAATTAATTAAATTAAATTTAAAAAAAACCCCAAATATGCCATTTCCATCCCAATCCTCAGAAAAGTCCCCTCCCTTTTAATGCCTCTCTTCAGCACCCACCTCTTTTCCTGCTACTATTTCTAGTACAATCCCACAAAAGCGTTACCGGCATTCGCCTCCAATTTCTCTCTTCCCATTCTTTTTTGGATTGATTCCCATGAGGTTTTTGTCCCTGTCGCACCCCAGTCCCCAGTGACCTCACTGCCACTGCATTCAGTGACTTTTTCAGGGCTCCCCTTACTTGAGCCAGCACAGCCTCTGGCCCTCCTCCTTCTGGAAGTCACTTCCCTGGGCCTGCGCCCTCCGCACCTGCTTCTGTCTTCTTCACTGGTTCCTTCTCTTCCCTGCACACTCCGGGTCCTTGGTCCTTTTCTCTGTTGTTGGCACAATTCACATCTTCAAGGATCTCTCCTTGCGAGGCTCAGCTTTAATCCAACCGCCTAAGCTTGGGGGTCTTTTGGAATAACTTTCTAGGCCCCAGGTGGGAGCCGTGCTCCTGCCCCGGGGACACTGTGTCAGCAGACTGCAGGTGGGGCCCTGGGAAGCCTGGCAGAAGCTGGCAAAGGGTGAGAATTCTTTTTTTTCCTCTCTTTTTAAACTTAAATTCAATTAACTAACAGATAATGTGTTACTGGTTTCAGAGGTAGAGGTCAGCGATTCATCAGTTGCATGTAACACCCAGTGCTCATTACATCACGTGCCCTCCTTAATGCCCGTCACCCAGTGACCCCATCCCCCCACCACCTCCCCTCCAGCAACCCTCAGTTTGTCTCCTATGATCAAGAGTCTCTTATGGTTTGTCTCCCTCTCTGATTTTGTCCTGTTTTATTTCTTCCTCTCTTCCCCTATGATCCTCTGTTTAGTTTCTTAAATTCCACATATGAGTGAGATCATATGATAATTGTCTTTCTCTGATGGACTTGTTTCACTGAGCGTAATACCCTCCAGTTCCATCCACGTCGTTGCATCTGTTGATGGACATCTAGGCTCTTTCCATAGTTTGGCTACTATGGACATTGCTGCTTTAAACATTGGGGTGCAGGTGCAAAGGGTGGGAATTCTTACCAGAGTCAGCTCTCCTGGATCTCTGTAGAGCCCTGTCGAAAAGGAAGGTCAAATTTCACATTGTCCCTTCCTTTCCAAATCCAGACTCTTGTGAATTCAGGTTCCCAGTGGTTGTCAGTCTTTTCTCTCCCGGGCACAGCTATAGCCTCCTTGTCTGGCTGATTTCATGTCCCGAGGACTTGCTTGACTTCCTGTCTACAAGGGGCCTGCACGTTATCGGTTCTTACATATGCAGGCAGCTCAACATTGGGTTGGGGGCCCCAAAATATGACCGGACAGAAGTGTGGGTTGCACCCCATTTGCAGCTAGGGTCGTCCCGCCTGTTGCCAGCTCTCAGGGGATTTGCCTCAGTCTTCTTTCTTTCGGCCACCTTTGGGAGTGGCTCTGGATCTTGGGAGGGTGTTATCTTTTGCACCCTCTCTGGGGACACCTCTTGCATCCCTGGAGCCCGTCCATACTGCCAGGAATCTTCACCCTTTGCTCCCACTGCAACTTAACAAGATATTTGAAAGGATTAAAATGTAGCTCCACGGTCAGAAGTTGGTCACACTGGAAGCTGATATTCAGAGCCAGATAGGACCTTTTTGAAAGGCCTTCTCCCCTAAGCTAAAATCAAACTATGTACCCAGAGGGAAAGAAGCCTCTCCAAAGACAAACAGCTCTAAATTTAGAACATAGGAATCTTTTGATTTCCATCTCAGCTGAGGACCTTCTCCCTGATGAAAAGAGGCAAATTGAAGATAATGTAGCTGGATGGGTGGGTCACCCCCTTGATATCCTTTGGACTGAAAGGCATTTCAAGTCCTGGACTGGTGAGCTCACCTAGGGAGCAAAGAGATGAGGTCCGAAATGAAGCCCTTGGTCTCCAATTTTTAGAGGTCAGAAAGAGGAGGATCCAGCAAAATCAAGTGGTTTAGATTATGACGGGGGGTGAAGGGAGGGACGAGGAGCAGAGGGTGAGGCACATGGGCAGAAGGCGGAGGGGAGATCGAGTTGTGGAAAGGCTTAGCATCCCCTGCCCAGAACCAGCCTTAGAGAGTATCAGGTGTTCTTAGGAGATTGCATACCCCCTCGGAAATGGGCACAGGTGAGGTGTTCGTCAATGTGGGTTTTTCTTGGACCTGGGGATGCACCGTGGACATCTTTCTGGCTGGATCGTGCAGCAGGTTTTTTGCGATTCCTCCCAACCCCCGATGTCCTGCGGTGACAGCAGCTGCCTTTGGTCCCAGGCCTGGCAGGCGAAAGGGCAGGCAGGAGTGCTCACTGTCGGTGACTCAGCAAATTCCCCGGGCGGCTAGCTGGGCTGGCAGAATCCAGGCGGGTGGCTGGAGGAGGCGGCAGTCAGAGCCAGCTGGGTTTGCTCCTGCCTCCAGGGTCCCCAGAACTCAGGCCACAGTATGAATGCGGCATCTGAGCCTCGGCTCTCCTTCCCCCTCCCCTCATCTCCATGGGCTGGATTCTTTAAGACAGGATGGCTATCCTGGGAGAGCGCTCTGGGTTGGTCCCTTTGAGGGTGTCAGCCGGCCTCCAGCTTGTCACCTTTGCGCAAAGCCTTCGATGACACCCCAGTGCTTCAGAGGCAAGACCAAACCGCCTGGAGCCTTCTGCTCCCCAGTCCACCCTCAGAGCTTTCGCTGGGCTGCGTCTTTCACGTGGCCTGGGCCCGGCCCGCACAGAACATGGCTCGTTCCTGAAATGCCCTGCCTGCTGTCTCCTCTTGTTTGCTCTTTCTTCTGTCCGAGGGCCACTGCCACCAGCCCAGCAGCCCAAGCCACCCCGCTCTCCCGGCTTCTCCCCTGCTGCCCCTGCACCCCTCCCTGACAGCTCGGTCCCTGCCGTGGCCTTGAGCTCTTCTCTCTGTCAGATAAGGGCTGCATGTGTCCTAAGGGTCGGGTCGGAGTCTCCGTGCCCCGGACAATGCCCAGGGCAGGACCCGGCGTGCAGACCAGGCCCCAGGCAGGGCAGGGCAGGGCAGGGCTTGACGGACCTTCAGTTCCTCATCTGTGGGAAGAGCATCATAGACCCCAGTTCACAGGGTGGTTTCCAGGACAAGAAGTCACGGTT